GTATTTTGAATTTTGAGTTCAGGACCTGAAAATGTGCTCACGTGTGTTGGGATAGGGGCTATGAAAAATCTCTGTGTCCTCATCGGGAGACCAACGTCATCCGCAGTGGGCCACGCTGTGCCCTGGAATAACGGGACTGGGAGAGGGGGCGCTGCTTCTCACACGTGATGCACGCACTCCAGGGCACGAGCTCGCCAGCCACAGTGGCAAGCTAAATCCGCTTATGCTACTTCGATTACTTCTCTTGTTCTTTTTTCTTTAATTATTATTGCTGTTGTTACAATTTTGTTATTATCAATTTTTTTCTACCAAGCATGTATAGCTGAATACAAATTAAGTGGAACACAGGCATGCTCTGTGTCCACCGGAAACTTGTAGTTTCCGGTGAAGGCTAAGTTGACAGGAGATCTGTGTGAATTATGCCAACTGCATGTGGCTGTTCCATAACAGCCTGAAATATTCCCTAATTCATATGCTAATTAAGCACCAACTACATGCCACATACCTACGTGAAGTGCTGGGAAAAACAAGAGTGAGCCACAGAGGCCTTAGAGTATAGGAGGGCAGAAAATGGTCAACAAAACCATTTCGTTTCCACGTGACAGCTGAATGGACAAGCCAAGATGGGCCTGGACAGGGCAGAGGAAATGGGAAGAGAGGACCCCACTCCCAGGATGCACCCCTCCCCTGCATGACTCCTGTCCCCACCTTCAGGCCCTTATTCAAATGCCACCTGCCAAGTGGCTCCACGCACCCCCACTGAAAACCGTGAACCCCCTCTTCCACCACACACTCCCTACCTCCTTTCTGCTCTATTATTCTACCTAGCACTTACCATTTCTGACCATACTTCTCATTTGTTTTACTTTTTGTCTTTCCATGAGAGGGTCATTTCACGAGGGCAGAGACGTTCAGCTGTCTGGGCCACCACTGAATCTCAACTCTAAAACAAGTCCCCAGCACGGAGCAGGGTTTGGTAAGAATTCAGAAGGCAGTCTTCCCCGACCAACTGCAGGGCAGCTGCCAGAGCTCTTGATCCCTCGGTCCTCTTTTCTTTCCCTTCACAGCATTTATAAGACACTCAAGTTTTATTTTAAAGTTTGTTTGCTTACTTCTTTTTCTCACCCCTCCCTAGGAGGAAAGCTTCCTGACGAGCGCTGTGGCCCAGCACTTAACACAGAGCCTGGCACCGCTTTCTTCCCCGTGAACTTCAGCTGGATGACCACCGTGATCATGGCTCACACCAGCTGGGTCCCGTGTGCTCTCTCCAAACCCTCACGACAACCCACGAGGTGGGTGTTACTATTCCCATTTTGCAGACGAGGAAACAGAAAGACAGTAACTTGCCCAAGGTCCCAAACTAAGAGAAGGGAGGAGCCAGCAATGAATTCTGAGCGCTCTACTGGGGCTTCTCCCTGAATCGCTGCTCCGCTGACCCGACCCAGCTGGCAGGAGCGGCGGTGCCGTCCTCTCTCCTGGCCGGTGGCAGCGCCTTCCTCATCGCCAGCCAGTCAGAACCCCCTGCCCCCTCCCAGCCACGCTCCGCTGGGGAGTCCGAGTGGCACTTTCGAAAAGCAAGTCTGGCCACTCAATCTGCCTGAAATCTCTTCAATGGCTCTCCTGCATTCGAGAGCACAGTTTGGGGTCCCTCCTCCCAAGAAGGTGATCGATTTTTATAACCGCCTCTTTGGAAGGATGACAATGTCATTTCTGGAAAAATAACATATTAGGAGGAAAATGGTGAACTTGGGAGAAATGTTTTATCCCTGAGATAAGAAATAATGATTGAAGGCTTATTTGATTATGATAACTGGACTCGTTTTATCAGTAATTCCAGAAATATTTATACAATTTCTGATTAGAATCAGCCAGGTAGATGTGTTAAAATAGATACTCTTAGCCCATTAATTTAGAATCTCTAGGGACAGGGTCAAGAAATCTACATTTTTAACAAGTAATCTCTGAACCTCTCAGCCATTCACTCACCTAAACCTTCCGTCTCTAAGACAACAGGCAAGTATCAGCATGTGGGGCAACACCATGTAAACCATCAACGTCAAGGCCAAGACCCACTAGCTTTATTCAAGGACCAACGACTCCTCTCTTGTTCAACACCAATGTTACATAACTCAGGGATTCAGACCAGACCCTCCCCCAGGTCACAGGGCTCAGGAGCATTTTACACACGTCACAGGAGGCCAGAACTATCAATCACTTCAGTGAGCACACTCACTTATGCCAGGTCAATGGTTTTACTACAAAATATTTTCATTCCAAAGATTATTCCATTTCTTTTCCTAAAACACAGCATCCTGTCATGGGTAGGAAGTAATTGTGAGAGAAAAATACACAAACACCCTACACCAAGTCTTGCCCTTGGAATGCCAGTTGACTTGAGCTGGTGCTATGTGGGAGTCAAAGACAAGCATGTTTATTCTGGTCTCTTCTATTCTGAAAAAAACCTAGAAATGTTAAGAGATGAGCTTTCTTACTGGGAAGGTTCACTGTCCACCCAATGGTCAACTTAAGATGCATCTGGCCAAGTTTCCCTGACATCAGAACTGGTCCTGACATAAATTCATCTCTGGACAGGGGGTGCCATCTGACCCCTGCGGCTGGGAGGGAGGAAAGGTCTCACCTGACACAGTCTTCTCTGCACCGAGCCCTCGCCGCCCCCCACCCCCAGCTGGAAGGGGTCCCCACTGTACAGAACAGCAAGAATAGGGAACTCCGACACTAAATCCTGTGTTCAAGACTACAACTATTTTTCCCTTTTTAATACGTTTAAAATAATTTAACTTGTGCCAATTACCCAGAAAAATGATTTCCTTCACAAACTATTTTTAAGAACTTGATAGAATAAAAGCCTAATAGCCCTAGGAACTGCTCTGAAAGATGGGGCATTTAATTGTGGTGCTACAGCATGTTCCTCTGCTGACTCGTGATGTGGTCTAACAAATTTCTGTTTGATATTTCAGAAATGGGTAAGAACTGACTTTTGGCTCTGATTATTTTCAAGGGCTCCCGTACAAAAGAAAACACTCTACCCGACACAGTGCAAGGGAGACAGTAACAGCACTTTAGAAACGATACATGCACTGTACATGGTACATACACTGTATGTACATGTGTACATACACGGTACATACACCACGTGTACACGTGTACATACATGGTACATACACCGTGAAGCCTACGGAAGAACGTGTTTGTAAAAGAAAACAGCCAGAGAAGTACATTTTCCAGGATATTTCATAGGTGTAAAAACAGTTTTTCACTATCGATAACGAATTAGCAGGTCCATCACGGAAATTACCTTCCACAGTGATTTAGGGTAATAAACAGGCTCTGTGATCACATGGACCAACAAAGCAATCCCTGGTTAGAGGTGCTGCGACAAATTAAGGGGAAAGAAAGTGAGATTATTCAAGTTCCGAAAAGATTATTCAGCACTTACTAAAGTGAAACGCAAACAAAATATGAAGATGACTTCAAATCCTGCAAGTTGCTAACTTTCCATACTTTCTTTCAGTTTTCTAATTACAAATTATAGCTTTAGGATGTAAAATCACTAGGTTATGTTTTCGAACAGAACTTTTTAATTTACTTACAAGTTTACTGCTAATGTGCTTCTAACTCTACATCAAGCTGAAGAGAAGACCATTTTCCCCACCCCACCCAGGTTCTCAAACTCCACTGCAAATACCCTCAGCCCTGCCAGGCGTAATGACCCCCTGCCAGGCTCTCTTGGACATGCTGACAGAACCTGACGGCACACAGGGCCAGGACAGGAGGGGGAAGTGGCATTCCCTGAGATTTCCAAAAGGCCCCACTGGGCGAATGAGAACAGCCGAAGATGCTGAAGACGCCCAAGTCAGCGCTTCATGTGGACTCCACCAGATGAAGCCATTGTGAAAGACGGAAGATAGGTATTGATGTTAGCATACAAATATTTTTTGAATTCAGTGTTTATTTGTCAAATACCAACTGCTTTTTCTCTCATTCCTTTCTGTTTCTGATCTTTGGAAAAACCACATCAGTATCAAATGTCACTCAGTTCTCATTCAAACAGAGGAAAGCAGACACAGCGGCTGTGCCCGCCCGGGACTCAGCTGACCTGGGCCCTAAGTGAAAACAAACTGCCATAAATCACCAGATGTGAGCAATTGGGCAGTGATCACTTTAATTAATTGAACAGCTTTCCTGAAATTTACTGTGTAATTTCCACCCTCCCAACACCTTTCCTAGCAGCACCTAACAATGGTGGTTTTTCCCTTCTCTTGTTTAAAGGAAGAAAACATTTTTAACTTCTGTGGGTTAAATTTATTTTTTAAATCACTCAAGATTAAGATGGCGAACTACTTAGTTTCAGAAATTAAACCATGCACATTCTAAATGCTGTCTTTAAATGCTGAAAGTCAAAATTATTTCAAAACATGTTCAGTGCATGAATAAGATGTTATCTGGCCCAGACATGTACAAAAGCTAACAGAACTTCAATTTTATTTGAAAACTCCTATTTGCAAAATAACATGCAATGGTATGTCTAACTTCAATCACATATTTAGTTTTAACTGTACAAAGTTCATATTCTGATTAGATGTTTCTGACCTTGATTTCCACCCCAGGTGCCACACTTAAAAGAAGATACTTCAATGCCTCACTAAAGAACTCCCATTTCTCCTCGAGAAACAACAACGTCCTCCATTAGTAACTATGTTACAATACCTAACCTGTAGATGCAGTGCCAACTACGAAGTAATACCAGAGCTGAAGTCCTAGTCCACAGAACATAATCAAACACACGTCTCTATGGGGTGCAGGTGAATGCTGTGAATCTTGGAGACCCGTTTAGCAATGACAGCAAAGTATAAAAAATGTGTTATTATAATACTTCGAATTTAGTAGCGCAAGAGACTGGAGCTGGAAAACAAGTCAACTAATTTACAGAATACCTCCATCACACACGCACACAGGTAACCCTGCTGGCATTCACTTACAAGGAGAGAAGTGTGATATTTGCTGAGACTGGTCCTAGATCTGGAATGGTCTCCAATTCATTGTTGTTCAGTTTCCTATAAATGCCAAAAAAAGGGGGGGGGAGCTGATTAGGTAATCTGTAATTCATAGAGGTGAAACTTTATAAAAGCATTTAAACATACCTCCCAAGTTAGGTTTTAAATAATTTATTGTAATCCAAATGGTCTTTACAGTTAAATAGTGTAATGGGTAGTTATATTTTAATCAAACATCAAGCAGGAAAAAACAAAGACTCACACTTCTCGAAGGCTTTGAAGGTGGCTCATGGAACTTGCTTTGATGACAGACAATCTGTTGTGACTTAAGTCCCTATGAGAAAACAAAAATAAAATGGTAAGTAGTTTAAAAAAATCACTTACCGCACTTGGTGATGGGCAAGACACGACAGATCTGAGCAGCGGCTCCATGGACGCTTGTGATACATCACGAGTAACCGTCACTCCTGTCCACAGACCAGATGGGGACCAGAACGCCACACCGAAAAACGTGAACTCTGGGGACAAAGTCAGTGTAGGAGGCTGGCAGATCCAAGTGCTTCGGGCCTGCAAACGTCCGAGGAGATGTTTTTGGCACAGGGTGAACCGATCTTTTGTGAGCTGGCTGTTTGGCTTCGCCTTCCCCATTCCCTGCCATCTCCCTACTTCCAACCTGGTACGATGAAGTCATGGCTTCCAAAAAGTGGCTAATTAGGCAGGTTGCTAAAACTAAAATCTCTGAAGGAACCTTTTTATTACAAAATATGAAGCATCAGTGTCCTTAGGATAGTCAGATAAAATAGAAATGGCTGTTCACACATTTATTTCTCCAGGCTAAGGCACCAAATTATTGAAAGTATCATTTGTGTGTGCGTGTGTGTGGGTGTGTCTGTTGAGGGTGGAAAACAACCTGAACCCTATGTTTTCCTGAATTCCCCAAATCTCAGTATCTGCTAATATAACTACCTAACAAAGTTAAGCAGAATGTACAAGGCGCTGTGATCATATTTGTCTTCACTCATTAAAATAGCTCTGCCTCTTACTCAAAGGCTCAGTCCAACTTAGTAACAATTGCCATTAAACACTGTTTCTTAAAAAAAGTAAAATACAACTCCTACCTACACAAAACTCTAGGCTAGGAAGTCATCACAGCATTTAATATTCAAACTACAGAGCTCAACGTGCCAAATACTGGGTTCTATTCCGCGTACTTGTCAACACACTGATCATGTGCCTTCAACGGGGTGATGAAGGTATAATGGCTGAGCAGCTGTGGAAAACCAGGCTAACGGTGGTGTGGTTTGACGCTCTCCTCCTGGAAGAGGCTGACCAACCTTACTAAGTTCTCTCAGTGTTAGAAAATGACTTTTAAATAACCGAAGTTTCAAATAACCAAACTTGACTGGAGAAAAGCATGGACCATTTGTTATATGCATAAGTATGCCCTCCCCCTGCCCGGCCCCACACAAGGCAGAGAAATCACAGAGAAGCACAGTGTTACTTAGCGCACACCCATTAGTTAACAATTAGAAATCAGAGAGCCTTTCAGCTTTTGAATTTTGTTTTGAGAATAAACCTGGATTTCTCTACTTCACCAAAAAAAAAAAAAATCTGCAAAGGTTTTTTTTATTTGAAACATGTTTGCCTAAAGACCTACCAGACAGTAACAGACATGAGTAGATTTGTTCTGGTAGAGTTATAACATGAAAAAAACCTGGCACCGCCTTTAAACTATAAAAATCCTGCAATTACAACCACTGCTGTGCATGCTCACCACGCTGGAGCCAGACACTTTCCCTCACAAACCAGCCCAGGTCCATCTGGAGTTCATCAAGGAAACCGTGAGCCCAACAACTCACGGTAGGATTCAAACAAAACCTGTGTGCTTTTAGCACCACAGACAGTCAGAGGTTTCCCACAGGGCTCAAAAAACAACCAAGGAAAAGAGTCCTTCACCTGGGAGGTAGCCTGAATCAACAGAAAGTCTCACTCGGACCCACTTAACTAAACACTGCACGGGCATAAAACTGCATCCCCTTATTGTTTCACATTTTAAAAGGAAAGGTGGAACCAATCTGGTATTTACACTTAACACAGGTGATTTGCTTTTTAATTACAAAAACTAAAACCTCACTCTTCACTTCATTTTAAGGATTATTTCACAAGGGCAATCCTGTGAGAAAAGAGATTGAGTGCCTAACATTTTTCTCCAACAGTAATGGGATGAGAACTCCAACAAAAGACCTTTAAATCGAGAAACTGCCTCCAGAGAACAGAGCACATGCTGAGGACCACTCACTTGTGATTCAGAAGCAAGATCTGGTAACCTTAATATTTCAGCCATTGCAACGCTTCCATTCTTGAATTTTGTGTACTACTATTAAAACTACATTATATGTGGGAGAAAAAAATCGCCCCTTACATGACTTTTACTGCTAAATACTTAAAGCCAGGACATTTTTAATGCACCTAAATTTAGACTTAATACAGTTTATGCCTCAGAAGTGATTACTTTCCAGTAAAAGAACGTCACATTTCCCTGAATCTTCCTTATGTTGTTTTTATGGCTAGAACATCGGAAACAAATTCAAGTTGTATAATGTTAATTCTTTGTTAAAACCCGTAAGAACATTCAATAAGAAAGGCAGATTCATCATTTTTAGAGTCCCATTAATGAACATCTTCACCAAGAAACTTTTTAAAAAGAAATCACTTATAATAGTATAAGAAACATAAAATGTTTAGGGATATATATTTTTAAATGAATAACAATGCTTTTGCCTTTAAAATTCTTCTTTTCATTTACCAGTTAGAGTCAATATTATTTTGCATTAGTTTCAGGTGTATAGCTACGCATAGTAGTTAGACAATCCTCATCCTTTACAAAGTGTTCCCAAGAAACCTTTTAAAAACGACTTTTGGTAGTGAGGTTAATGACAGGGAAAGGTGGTCAGGCAGAGAGGTGTTAACTATTTACCCAGAACTCAGCTGACCAAGTACTTGAAAATCAAACTCGACTTGGTAGAGAGAAGCTTCTCTGCCTGCATATGAGCAGGAGAATAAATATATATGAAAATAATTAGTTTACAACATTTGGTGCTAGCTATCATTTTCTTCCTTTTCCCATTTGGAAATCTGACTTCCAAGTCAAATTTTAAAATGCAAAACCAGCACAGCTTCTTAATCAACCCCACTGGGGCCTGCAGAGCTGCTAATTCAGCAGAAATCTGGAAAGCTGGAAAACAAAAAGCCAGGCTGTAGCTGTTTTAAGACACTGATCCAAAGTGACTCATAAATCAGCCTGCTAGTTCAAGTTTTAGTCTGGAAAATATAGAAAAACAGCTGTGAAAACCATAAGGACCATTACCCCCACCACCCCAGGCCCAATTCTGGTACCAACCAGAGGATTTGTAACAGGCGAACACTAAAGCAACCCCACCAGCAGAGAGTACCTTTCGGACCTTTTCTGCCCTGCTAACTCAAACATTTTTAAGCGATACAATAAATAATTCTGAAATTCCAGTGAGATTTTAATAATACTTGAAGCTCCCACTGGCAACTGAGCAACTTTTCCCTCTTCTGGCCAAGTAACATTCTAATGAATACCCTTCTTTAGGCTCAGGACTCTGTAAGCACAAACTCTAGACGCAAACTCAAGCCTGGCTCTAAGGCAGTTAGTTGTAAGCAACCTTCAAATAGTTTTAAGAGTCCCTTTCAATAAAGCATTAGAGGCTACTTTTTAAAAGGAGAACTAACTATAGTATTATTACGTTGCAGCTTAAACTATTCAACTTGTCACACATGGGGTTCCAATGGCAATAAATTACAATTGAGTAAAGTGGAAAAAAAATACACAGGTATAATAGAAAATTGAGTTTTTAACTTGCTAACTCAACAAACACCACGGAAAGGCAGACAATAAACCTTTTCTGAATAGGGCTCTCATAAGCTAGTCCTAAGGCAAACTTTTACAACTTTAATTACCTAACGAGAGGAAGTTAAGATATGGGAAGAACAATATGCATTTTTCTAGTTACTTCTAGACAATGAAACAATCTACTTAAAAGCTTGTCTCATTATGTAAAATTTAAGCAGCAGCTAGCTTCTGCCGCCTGTTTCACACACCAAGAAACAGAAGTTAAAGCTCAATTCCTTGCGTTTTTCTCTCAAGTCCTTTCAGAGTTGGAGAGAGAAGACCTCTCGATTTTTAGACCAAACAAAGGAAACATTTACAATAAGGAATTCAGACCACATGGTTTGGTGACAACTAGAAAGTTGGTTAAAAGTCACACAAGTAAAAGAGTGACAGAGCTGTCCAATGAGTGATCACAGTGGGGCTTCTGACAACAAACCGGGTGCTTATTTACACAAGTGGAACTTATTTTCACATACATCTAAGGAATGCAGGCTTGTATTGAGACAATTTACTGCTGGCGGAAATGTAATTAAAGATTGTGCTAACCAAATAAACTGTAATTTGTTTTTAGTGTGCCACCAAATTATCTGCAAAACAAAATCCTAATTAGGTCAGCTACTTTTAAGACAATGTTTAAACAGGTATCAAACCCCTTTCGGTTTAACTCAACTTGTGATCAAGAGCAATACAGTTGTTTTTTAAAAGACGTCCAAATTCACAAAAATAGGCATTGCATGACAAGAGTCCACTCAACAGGGAGAAGCTATTGAGTATAAATTAGATTTGTGAACAATCCAAGCCTCTTGAAACACACCCCAGGAGGCACTACTCTATTCCTTTTCTTTTTCTCATCCCTCTATTATTTAGGTGTTCACCTCCAGTCATTCAAATGTTCAGTTCCATATGTTGTCAATAGAGCCATTCACATTTCATGAATAAGGCAGCATGACCGCCACAAGAGGCAATTGAATAGAATTAGCCACAACTAATTGAAAGTCTTCCTGCTTTGGGTTAAAGCCCTTATCTCCTCCTTCAATTGTAATAAAAGCTACTAAACAAGACATCCCCTGATAAGAGATTAAATATCAATCTAAAACTCTCAAATTCTACTTTTTAATTAAACCAAGGTTTACTAACACAAAGAATATGATTTTGATGGTTACAATTCTACAATTCACAAAGATTTTGATTTGCACATTGATATAAAAATGCAATTTCTTCCTACCACTATTACTAGGACATTAGGCTAGTCTACTCGAATTGCTTAAGAATTTAGAAGTTTCATTGCTATTCTGCTAGACCCAAATCTAAGGATTAAGGATACATTACTTTTATTTCTCTTAAACAGATAACTTTTTTTAAGCACAAAAGTTTCGATTGTGTATATTTTACACTTCTCCAATTTTAACAAAGCTAAGGCTGAGAGAAAATAAAGAGACGACATTTGGAAAGAATTAGCCTTTCCAACTAAAATACATTTTTTTCCTTGTTCTTGTAGGCACTTGGCAGCGATTTCAGGTTTTCAGACTTTACAGCTAGCATCCCAAATATGCATAACACAGTGCCCAGCACTCTCTCCTAAACTGTCTGGAAGTGCTACGAAGCTACAGAAATCAAGCCCTTGGTTCTGAGAACTCTCGCACCTTCCTTTCCATATCTAGTGATCAATCTTGACAACTTCTTACCGGGACGAAGATGTTACAATTTGGTCGAGGAGGGGGTGATATATGGAGTACAGAAGAAAAAAAAAACAACAAAAGGATGTCTACCACAGCTTGAATAGTGGCACGTTCAATGACTTGATGGGCACAGGAAAAGGGTCCTGAAGCGGTTAGAAACTAGTTGAGCGACAGATCCTATACACTCAGCAAGAGAACGGAGAACTCCAGTAGTCCGCAGGTTGCCACCTCTCCCAGCTAGGCAGGGGCGCGTATTTGAACCCCCTAGGAAAGCTCCACTCGCTGGACGTTGACTGTACCCCCAGAGCTATCATTCGCTCCCTCCCTTCGCCCATCTGAGGCTTGGTGGGTTTCACCAGGGCCCACCAGCATGACCTGCAAGACACTTGCAGGGAAAGGGAGATTGAGGCCCCGATGGCTCCTTTTCCAACGCCACCGAGCGCCGCTGGAGGCCTGGGCCAAGAGGAGCTGCCCAGGAAAAAGCTGCTGCACGCCAAGTGCGCGGGCCCCCTGGACATCTCCCCCTCCGCCCTCAGGAAGAATACTTACAGCCGAGTAACCCAGGGCGGGAGCGGCTCGGGAAGGTGCGCCAGCCGCTGGCGACTGCAGTCCAGCAGATCCTCGAGGCAGCGGCAGGGAACCGGGCACTGGTGGCTGCTACCCTCGGCCAGGCCCGCACGTCCCAGGGCCAAACACAGCAGCAACGCCAGCGCCGCCGCGTGCGCGCGGAGCCTCGGCGCACCCATCGCAGTCCTGCGGCCTCTCGGTGGGCCCTGCGTTGCGCAGCCCGCACTCACTCGGAACCCCGCGCAAACTTCCAGGAGTCAGTGGGTGCTCGCGCCGCGGATCGCGTGTGCGCGCGCCCTCCTCTCGTACTCCCAGGTAAACTCCTTTCTTTTACTCCCAACAGCGAATGCTTTTCATGCCCCAGAGCAGCGTGAGGGAAATCAAAAAGAAAGGCTGACTGCGGCACAGTTGCAGTACGGGAACTGTCGGCGCACCGAAGGCCCTTTCGCCGGCAAAAGAAACTTTTTCACCGCCTTGCTGCAGCGGAGCGCCAAGTCCAGGCTCAGAGGAGTCGGGAGGCGGGGCGTGTAGTGACCGGAGCGCTTCCATTGGCCAGCCAGCTCCCAGTCACCCTTGACCACGTGACAATAACAGGGCTCCAAGCCGGGGCGCAGCGCCCGAGAAAGTGGAGATCAGATTGTAGGAAATTGAGGGTTACATTTTCCAGCCTCTTGGTCCAGAAGTCTCCACTACATCCTGGGAAACATATATCAAATGGAGTTGAAGAGAAAGAGGGAGTAAGAAAACAAGTGCACAAATATTAGGGCAGCTCGCGGAGTTGGCAGTTTTTTATGGAACATCAGGGAAGTAACTTTAAGTTAGCTCTGTTACCAGGAAACCTCTCAATTACAAATTTAAAAAATGTTTAAATTGTCCTACTAGTCACAGATGAACAATAGTTTCAATGAAAGTAAGTTTTCTTTAACATTAACACTGATTGGGTTTTTCCGTATATTGGCTCCAAAAATAAGAACAATCACATAAAAAGCAAGGTACTGGAAATAGTATATTGAGTTACAACTAGCCAGCTGGATAGAGCTGGAGGAAATGATGAGAAATGACCTTATAATAAACCACGATGGCAATCATAGATTGCATGCAATAACCAGAAAAAATAAAAGTATTCACAGTTACATTTTAAAGCAAAGTAAAACCTAGGAGGAAAAGTTAATATATGTACCATGCATGGTGCACCTGGGCTTTGAGTGATGACTAATCCTGATTGAGAATGCTACCAGGCTGGAAGTACTTTCTTGCCTCCTCATCCTGGGGTGGATTCAGCACACTGGACTTCCTCATGAAGTCTGTGTCTTGACTTACTCTTCCAGGTGATCACAGGGCTGGGGGTGGGGGGCACCTCAAAGAACATCTGGGGAGGCTGTCCCCTGGGAAGGGGGAATAGACCTAGGGAAGGTAGCCAGCCCATTTGTGGTAAAAGCTGGAAGCTCATTTTAAACTTCCATTTGTGCATTCATTGTTTCTTGCATGCTCTCTACCAAAGCATTCTTTTGGGCCACTTAAACTTTTCATTGTTGAGAAATAGAGATAGTTTGTGGAGTTGAGACTTTAACTCTAACTCTAATGACCATTGATTTCCACTGTAGCATATCACCTGTATAAGCACCTCCATTCGTGGAGAGAAAAGACTCTCTTTGAAGTTGAATGGAATCACACTACTTCACAGGATGTCCCATCCTCTTCTTTCCAGCCACCATTAGAACCAATTCCACCACTGTTTTTGATGACATACATGTAGAAAATATTTATAATGATGACACTTTGCTTTTCAAATGAACATTTTGCCTACTTGGGAGTGGTCAAGACACACCACAGTCATGCTATGGATTTCCCAGCTCAGTCTTCCCCATTTGTTTCAAATTAAAAAAATCTGGCTTAGCGAATTGGAGTTTTGGAGAAGAAATATGCCATTATACACTTGTCATTACATGTAAGAATAGTGGCAGGAATATGGTGGCTTGCTGGTTAACATGTCACCCACATGACAGAAATAGTCAGAAATAGGTAGGCTACAACTTTGGAAGTGGATTTGCTCACTTTCTTTCCCCATTCTACACTCTTTTATATTATTTCATCTTTTTTGAGTTCCATTTACACCCACATACTGATATTTACTGATATGTGATATTTATATATTTCTAACCCAGATGTTTCTCCTAAATTTTAGAGCCATATGTTCAGCCATCCACAGGTCATCTCAAATTGATGTTTGAATGTAACATAGTTGGAATTAAATTTTACCAGCCCTGAACCTGCTGCTTTTCCTCCTGACTGTACTATCTCAAAAGATACCTCTCTCCATCCAGATGACTGCTGGCCCAGGCACCTAATTCACGCATAACATTTCCTCATTCTCACCACCACCTGTACATGCAATTAGTTAGCAAGTCCTGATGAAGCTATCAACTAAATATATGTCTTCTCTATCTCCACAGACATTATGTGAACTCAGACCACCATCAGCTCTCACCTGGAATACTGCCATAGCCTCGTTCCTGGCTGACATTCCACTCCTTTCCCTGCAGCGCAGTCAAATAATATCCCAAAAGCTGAAATCTGATCCTGTAACTCAACTGTCTAATTCCTTTCACAGGCTCCCATTGTCTTCAGAATAAAGCTTTTTTTTTAGAGTGACACATGCAGCCTTTTTATGTGTACATTTGGCCTGTACTTATCTCTTGAATTCATTTTATTTAATCATCTCCTTTTACTCTAAGAACTACTTGCAATTCTCTACCCATGCTGCGCTTTTGCCTTTGGCCTTCCTTCACATGCTGGTCTCTCTGTCCAGAGCACTCTCTGCCCTTCTTTTGCCTGGTTGACTTGCATTTCTATTAAACATCCCATTTAGGAGGGAAGCTCCCTGAGGCCTGCTTTAGCTGTTCCTCCAGTGCACTCCCACATTCATGCACCGTATTCACTGGAATGAACTGGCCATTTTCACTCTACTACGTCCTAGATAATGCTTAGAATTTCCATATCACATGTGGCCTTTATATCCTTTAAGGGTTTCACCAGATATGTGATGTTAAGTTATTTAAACTTTCAGTCCCTCAGTTTCTTCTTCTGTAAGTTGGGAGTACAATAAAAACTTTATCTGATTTCGGTCTCTCAGTTCGCTGACTTAGTGGTCACTGTCTGTTCTCGCTGTAAGATCTGCTGACTAATGCCGAGGACCACCTGAAGTCTGGAGGCGACCAGCCCCTCCTAGTACATTTTGCCTGTTTGCTCCCCCAGTCAGATGTTAATCCATAGTAGTTGCAGACTTATTTACACAATTAAATTATTGTGTAAACCGAATAAATACAAGTGCAATCTGAAAGCAACATCAAGTCTGTAGTAATGAATTTGAAGGTAAGGAAAGATTCTTTAAAGGAAGTCACTTCAATGTGATGCTGTGAAATTAGACGCATTGCCCACAATGCGATGGGCAAACCATAGTGAAAACTGGGGAGAAATTATAAATTGAGGAGATTTCTTTGCACAGATTGGTTTGCGGGCATCTTTAAATGCTTGTTCCACTTTAAAGCAATCATAGCTGGGAATCAATCAGCCGAGGTTGTCTGATGGGTGTGGCTCATGCTTACTGAAAACTTCACGTGGCAGGTGAGAGAGCAAGCCAGACACAGAAAAGATGGAGCACATGTTCCACATGGCTCCTCACCCCAGTACACCCTCAGCTGAGCAGTCACATGGGCACTTTAAATCAGTGTAATGCTTTCACAGACTTCTCCAACTCTTTAGGAAACACAGAGCAGAAGTCTCACTGCTCATCTACCTGAGCAGGTGAGGACAGAACACCCTTGAGATCCTTCACAGCTGCACAGCTGCTTCTGTATGACCTCGACACAAGTGGTGAAGGCAGAGGCCCAGGAAAGATGGCCTGTAGTTGAGGGGGAAAAAACCATGAAATTCCATTTCATATCCCCAAATCAATCAGTTAATAACAGTGACCCCAAAACTGCCTGATGTGTGGCCCTCTCCTGATGTGGTCTTTTCGGGCATACGCACACATAATGAAGTAGTAGCAAATGTCCATTCTCAGTTCTTGTGGCTAGTCTCGCACACAAGGATTTAGTGTGAGATGGTCAAATTCATTTTGACTGGGGGGTCTTTTAATATTTGAATTAAAATGAGATAAAGTTTTGGATTAATCTCTTCCTTCAGAGGTTTACACTGACTAACCACGTGGTTGAAAATTGACTTTCCATTGGTAATCACCTAAATCAGCCCCAGACAGCTTCTCATTTACAATTTTGTCCTGGTGAATGGCAAGTCCCACCCATGTTCAAAGTAGCCTCCTATCGTCTGTCCATTTTATGCTTAGTATAACCCAGCCCAGGAGCTCTTTTTAGTTTTCCTGTTCCCCCCTCCCCCTCTGGCAAGTGTGAGACTTTCTTATCTTGAGTGCTGGCAAGGGCAATGACTCACTGATAAAAAGTAATAGAGGTGCTAAGCTGTCAGTTCTAACATCCAAGGACAAGAATGAAAGCTAAACACTCAGTACTTGCTTTATCATTACAATGAATGACACAGTTCGTGTAAGTGTGAACTGTGAAAAGGGAAAGAGATAAGGCAAAGCAGGAAGAAAAGCACAAAACTCCCCAGATAATGATGCCAAAAGCAAATGTTGCTGGACTCTGTAACCTAACCATATCTTTCTCCATTCATTAAGGCATTTTAGAAGAAATAGATAACCCCCTTTCTCACACACAAAAAATGCAATGCTTCACTCAAAGAGCAGGAAAGTAGAATCTTACTTTACAAACCTTCCGCTAGGAACATGTCTTAACTCTTTAGAAAATATTTAGAGAGATGAAGATAGCCAGCCACCCATCTGTTTTTCTCAAGTTGGCCAACTGTACGGCATTACTTGAATTGAAAACAATGTTGTCTGAACATTCACTTAATTACAAATTAAACATATGCTATCTTTTATTTTACTCATTTCTCAAGTTACCCTTAGGAATTATGTGTGTGCTGAGGAAAAATCCTACGGTGGATGGAACTGGATAAAACTTGGTGTGGCCTGGGGCTAGTGGGAGCTGGGAGGCCTGTGGTTCGGGGGTGGGGGTGGGGGTGGGAGGCCCAGGGCTCAGGGTGGGTGTCTGGGATTTCCGCCAGATTCTCCTTCATGGTGAGTGTCCTTCCCTGGCAACAGATCCTTTTCGTGGCCTCCAGTTTCTTAACTGCTTTGAGGACCTTGGGACACTTTTTCCACTTCTGCCAATCCCTGCTCCTTTTCTTTTTTTTTCCCCTCTCCAGCCAGTAGCAGTATTACCACACCACTGGGAAACTTCAACACATCAAAATAGGCCCCATCCTGTCAGAAATGCAGAAATTCAAACGTTTGAGACTTTGTAATAGAGAAAGCAAGGTGGTCAGGAGTCTGACAGTGAGGTCATAAGCGCGGTAACTTTGGTTTACTGAACAACACTCTACTTCCTGTTTCTTATCTGTCAAATGGGGTGAAGAGTGATACATTGCTGCAATATA